TGTCTGTGAGGAGATGGAAGTCTAAATTTTTACTCGCATTTCTTTTAGATCTTGCTTCAAATGTTTTTTTTGTTATTGTTTAGATGTACGACATAGTCTTATTATAATTTGTATGGTTCTTGTAGCCATTTTAATGGCACCTATAACATGGTATCTATGGATTTATACAGGTAGTGCTAATGCTAATTTTTATTTTGCAATGACAATGGTATTCAATGTTGCACAGGTAACAAAATTTTTAAATTTTGGTTTGAAATTATATATATGTATATAAATCAATTTTTAGACATTCCTTGTTTCGGATTTATTTTATGCTTATTTAAAACGAAAATTTTTTCTCAAAAATGGTATTACTATTCCACAATTTAATGGTGTCGAAGGTCAATTAGAATTTCGTTAAATTCTTTAAAACTGTTCTGATAACAAAACAAAACAAAAACTCTTTGCTATTATATCTATGCCACATTTTATATATATTTGTTAAATTCTTTATAGACAAAAAGAAATAGATACTCAATAACATTTTGCTTTCATTTATGTTCTTTTTTTTTACTTCTATGAAATAAAAAGTTTTACAAACAGAAGTTTGTGCATCTGTATCTGTACATATGTCTTAAATACAGAAAAAATTCAGTAACAATTACATAATTGAATAAAGTTCAGCTATTTTCGTGAAATGTCCTTCACGATCGAAAAAAAAGAATCGAAATCAATCTAAGACTATCATAGTTTTATCATTCGTTCATTGTTAGCTTATCAATACATCAATGTAAAGCTGTACATAAGATCGATACATCCTTATCTATGACTATTCTTTAGATAATTCATAATGATTATTAAGAAAGGTTTCACAAGCCCATCGAGAATCGCTGTCACATAGTCAAAAAAAAAACGTAACTTTTTTTAAAAATCTCATTCGATTCCTTGAAAAAAAGTGAGGTTATGAGGATTTTCAGGACCTTTGTTGACGGAGTTATAGATTTGACAACAAGAGGAGGATTTAAAAATCAAAGAAAAATGTGTTTTTCGATTTCTTCCACTATTTCGCCTTTAATTCTGTTTTTTTTTGCGCGCAATATTTCATTCGAAAGAGCTCATCAAACTGACCAAAAAAGTC